ACGTAGACAATATACCACCGCAGCAGTATGTACTAGAACGAGTCGTCGGAACCGTAGAAGGGCAAGACGGCAAGGTACGAGTGGCAGACGTGGCAACCCGGACAGGTACAATTAAGCGCCCTATTCACAAGCTCGCTCCATCAATGTTGAAAAATTATTATCCTGTCAAGATGGCCGGTGTTGCGTCAAGCGACTTTTCGAAACTAAAATAAAATATATCTTTAACATAACTGTTTATCTGCATAACAAATTTATTGGGAAGCACACACCTTTCTTATTTTATTCAAATTTTAAAATAAAAGTTTCCGTTAAACTTAGTATAGAATTATTATTTTGACCATCTCGGTTGATCCACAAGTTTATTTAAAATTATAATAAAAATGTTATATAATATGTAATAATATGATGTAGACGAGGGGAGCGTTGAGAATCCAATTCCACGAAACGACTTTCGGGTGATGGCGATCAAAATCAGGAGGTATCGGTGTCCAACAGTTGTCAACGAACAGTTGCGCATAAGATCGCTACCTTGGCGAATCAGGTGTATATGCGAATGTTGATGTGGCGCTCAGGCCCGTAGACGAAAACGAATGTAAAGATAGTATGTTGTGTTGTCCTGTGTGGTGTCATCTGGTGTGGTGTATTGGTGAGTATGTGGTGGGCATTATTAGGGGGCGCCAGTTTTTCCCGAGTAGAGTGGTGTACTTGGAGGAGGGAGTTTAACTCATTTAAACAATAACATAAACTTAAAAAAAGAAAAGATTAATTTAATAATATTGGAATAAATTATAAATGTTTTATGCTATGTAAGTATTTTAACATTATACTTATTACAAAACACATTATCTATTACAAAGAATTAACGAAACTGTTGAAATATACTTATACTTACCCCTTTTCTAATACGTACTTACCACTAGTTTAAGCCGTTAGGTTAAATTATAATATAAGTAAAATAAAGAATTGAATTGTAATAAAACCACACTCGCGAATGGTTTTGCTTAACCGGATATTTTCAATTCGTCTAGGCACAGGCAATTGGCCCTCTTTATTCAAGTTGCGCATCCCAATAATTTTATTTTATCTCAAAAAAGCTTGAGAATTTTCAAAAGGAGTAGTGCGATTTTTTTGTCGTTTATTTATTTTTGTTTCATTATGAACTAACATTTCGTGTAAAAATCCCAAAAATGCCTTGTTGCATACAAGAATTTGTTTATTAGAGTCATTTACGTTTTAAATCTTTGCTGTTATTGCCGCCATCGTTCCATTACTAGACTTCGCTGGTGCCATGACGGTTTTAGCCGCAATATAATTTAAGGTCCTGACTTAATTAAAATTAAGTTTATTTAAGAAGAAAGAGTAAAACTATACTTCCAATAGTTTAAAAATTACAAAAACATATATTGTTACTTTTTTAACCGAGGCCCCATGTTGGTCGTCAGTAAATACATCACGTTAAGTATTTTATTATTATTTATTTTAATTTCCCTACTGATGTATTAGTCGCTCACAATGAGTGAATTATTCAAACTAATAGCGCTTTCTAAACATTGGTCAATTAATTGACAGAATGGCTTGTAACTTTGCATATGTTCTCACGACAGATGTACCAACTTGAGGTAAAAAAATTTGGAGCTGGTATTGCTATTTTTTGGTGAGACCAACCACATTTACCACCAACTTGTATATACATAAACACACATCCTAAAGAGATGCATATATAAGTACATATGTAGCATACTAATTATAGGAACTGTAAACTGAATGGGTATACACAAGAACATATAATATTTAGGCATCATCCATGTGTACACTTAAAACCCCATATCAAATAAAATAACCTATATATGTTGTTATATAAAATGTTATAAAACACATACAGGTATTAAGTTCTATACTTAAAATGTGATGTGCACATACATACACACCCTGGTATTTCTAAAAATACAGGAAAATTGAAAATTAGTAAATAAAATATAAAATAAATAAAATGCAGAAATGTCGAATACCGACTTTAAAGTGATATAGAATGAAATACTTTTCAATCAATGACGTGTATATCAATTTTAGTCCCCTCAATCTTAGGTAACACAATATTGTATAGCTTGTCATCACTTACCTTCGAGCCGGACCAAATGTTTGGTTCTGTATAAAGAAGTTTACAGGCAATCTAAATATTATATATTTATAACTTCAGCGTCTATGGTGACCTTGATCACTGAAGGATTGTTAAACCAGGCCATCAAAACACACTCAAATTTGTGATATATTTCAAAATTTCATCAACATCCCGACAAGTTTCTGCCGTAAGGTTGAGTTTTTTTTTTAAACATTTTTCAAAGCGTTTATTGATCTGGAAAGATTTTTCGATAATGGCTTGGTGACATCGATTCCGGCAGACCACCTTGTATTAGAAAGGTAGTGAAGTGAATTGGGTATTTTGCATTTCAGAATTTCCCAACGTTGTGTGCTGCTACTGAAAATATTGAAACATTTTTCAACGACACCAAAAAACAGTTATTGCTCAAAGTCAGCGTGTGGGCATCACTGCATAGTTATTTTTAAGATGAAAACTTCTTATTTACTGCTCATATTACTGGCATTATCGTTGCCCTGTCCACGTTTTCTCTGCGTTTGTGACATATATTTTTGGTAAGATTTCAATATAGCCGTTCCAGTCGTTCCCATTGCTAAACGTCAAATTTACCCGATCCAGTCAACTGTCAAAGTCGGGTAGGAGATTTACGTTCTCAATTTCAACTCCGTTTCCAAGTCTTTGGGTGTGTCTCCACAAGCTTTTTATGTTCAAGTCGCTATCGTTTGATTTCATGTGCATTAGCTCACCAATAAAATAAAATCGCTCGAAAACCAACTCGTAAGCTAAAATTTTGTTTTCAAGGGCACTAATCAGTTGATCAATGAATTGCACTGCCGATGCCTGAGAAGTTGAAAAGGTGAAATTCACGAACTTCAATTTGATGGTGCTTATTAACTTAAAATTAACTGTTGATTTTTCCGAAAAAACTTGAAAAAATTTACTGAGGCCGCCATTTTGTTAATTCTTGAAAAAAAAGCTTCGATTATCTATATATAATACAATTTTTTGGAACTGGGTCAGCACATACAGCTATAACTTTGGAAATTAAAATTTTTTTTGGAAATTTTCGTGACGTCAAGTCAAAATAATGTATAATTATGCCATATTACTACTTTTGTAAAATACAATAACATGATTTAATAGCAAAAAAAAAAATACTGAAAATTCTAATTTTTTCGTGCCTCTGACTACCCCTAACCCCATAATCCACTCTTTTGTGTGATCTGTGGATTAATTGAGATTAATGATATACACAACTTAAAAAAAATCAACCAGGAAAAATCGTTAACTTCGGTTGCACTGAAGCTTTAATATTGTATATATAATTAAATTCCCAAATAAAACATTTCCATATAAGGACTTGATCTTGGTATATGCTAACTGAACAATTTGTTCGAATATTACACCGTTGCTTTAGACTATAATCCATGCTTAATTTCGTGAAGATATTTGATTACATAAAAAAGTTTTTCCTACAAGGACTTGATTTCGATCGTTAAGTTTGGATGGCAGCATATGTTATAGTGATCTGATATTGCCGGTTTTAACAAATGGCGGCCAATATCTCGAAAACTGAGGGACTATTTCGCGTATATACAGACGGACAGACAGACAGACATGGCTTGACCAGACGCTTGTAACGCTGATCGTTTATATACATATCGGGTCATTATCTTGTTGGAACCACAACGTCGAAGATAATCCAAAATTCTCTGCACTTTGTTTCAAATTGTTGTTTTTTAAAATGTTCAAATAACCCCATTTATCCATTGTAGATTCAATAAATTCAAGTTGACCCACACCACCAACCGCCATGCAACCCCACACCATAGTTCCGCCTCCTCCGTGTTTAACTGTACCAACAAGATTTTGCTTTTCAAGGGAATATTACTTGTCTCCAGAATTCCGGCGACTAATTCATATAACTATGAGCAAATTCAATGCGCTTTCGCCTGTTTAAAAGTGAAATATATGGTTTCTTTCGAGCGACTTTACCATGATATCCAGCTTTTCGTAAAATTTTTCTAGCAGTTTCGGCACAAATTGTTTTTTTAATGGTTATATAATATTTACGTTTTCAATAATCTTTGTGGACGTAATTCGTCCACCTTTCACCATATTTATTATTTTCTGATAATGTTTTCAGACGGCCAGATCGCGGTTTTGACGTTAAAATTCCGTTTTTTTTTTAATTGTTTACGCGCGCTGGACAGAAGAATACGTTCTTCCAATAATTTGCCCAATTTTTCTGAAACTTTCGCCGTCTTTCCACAACTTAATGATAATTTTTCTTTCTGACAGATTAATTTCTTTTCCTTTGGTTTCCAGTTTTTTTTAAATATTATTAAAACGCGTCACGCAAAAAGTAGGAACAAATTCATGAGAAGTAACGGTATTTACAATTCAAACTAACTGAACGCAGACTTTTTGGTGCCTATATTTACTTGTTCTTACACTAAAATCCCGTTTTCACAAAAATTAAAATAGGAATATACATTCTTATTTTTGAATTTTGAACTTAAGAATATAAAGAAGAAATACATGTAGAAAATTTGAACTGAATTACCTATTTACATTGTGTTTTTACTTCACTTAAAAAAATGTGTCGGGTAAACGCAGACTTTATTGGCTATGTGTACAAGTATATACTTATTTAAGTGTGATGAACAAACTGGTTTATGTTAATAATGTTTTAAAGTAAATTTCGAATATTACCTACAGTTAATACTTTCTTAATTGTAAGACAATTGTGTAGTAAATAATATTGCATACTTATTAGCAGTTAAATGTAACCTTAATTTCAAGGGCAATAAATTCTATGATCATATTCTGTGTTCTAAATTTTTTTTTCATTAATTGTTCACATAATTACTGCTTACCGAATAAAATTATTTATTTGTAGTGGCTTACAGAGTCGGCCAGGTACCATACCATAAATGGTAATTATGAGAAAGCAGTTCGAGTCTTAGAACAGGTAAGAAAACTTTTATTGTATGTAATAATTTTATTTTTTATATTTCTGTTATAAGTCTGTATTTTTATAAGTCAAGATTTATAATTTCTTATTACCATGTTGTTTTCGGCAGTTTGCTGCACAGTTGATGATAATGCTGCGCTACAATTTTCTATTACAAAACACAGCAACATTGTTATCATTAATAATTTATAATATAGATATATATCAATTATACCATTGTGTTGAACTGGGATTGAATAATTTTCTCATAAACTAATACAGGTTTTGGATACTTAATGACAAAATGTAAAAACTCATTATCTATTAGGACCTTAATAAATAACATTTAAATAATGTTTTTTATATCACTAGAGTTCAATATAATGTTCAAGGGTAACAGTAAAAATTCAGGTTTCAATTTCTTATGTAATTACACTCGTAAACACATTACATTTTTTTTCGTTTTATGAAGTTTCTAAACTATCTAATTTGACGTCGCTAATTTTAAATCTACCTCAGTTTATTTCTAGCAGCTTTAGTTTATGTGATACAGGTGATTCTTGAAATATTGTTATTCGGCTTAATTGAATTAATTTTGAGGGCAAAAATGACTAAATTTAATAAATATAGCGGTTTAAGACATTAGACGGTTCTACATTAAGAGGAACTTAAATGATCCGAATAGTTTATGTGCTGTTTGTGCTGACTGTACCATAAGTTTAGAAAATGCGGTTTAAATAACAAGTAAGGAAGTTCTAAGTTCGGGTGTAACCGAACATTTTATACTCTCGCAACTTGCAAGGATCAAAGCCCGGGAAATGACTATATTAAAGGAAATATTAATCCGATTCAACCCATTTTTGACACAAAAACATACTATGATCGAGAGTTTCATTTATTTATTTTATTATATGAATTTCAATTATATATCTTACACATTGACCGATATTTTCGGTAAAAAGTCAACTACAAGTTTCCACATATTCAGTACCTAGGGGCTTGAAGAGTTTTCGTTCGATTTAGACAATTTTTGGTCACAAGATGGCATACTTTAAACGCATTATTCACAAGTCAAAGTTTTACCCCGATACAATCATTGTTGCTTGATATGCATAAATTAAAATTATTTTATATGGGAAATAGGCGTGATTGTAGTCCGATTTGGCCCATTTTCGCACTATAATATAGAAATATTAATAGAATGTTTTGTAACGAGTTTGGTTGATGATATGGGTTTGCACGTTTCCATCAAGAGAAGGCGGTGTCACGCCCACTGTCTAATTTTGAACGCGGCTCCTATAAAGTCATCCCATACCATCCCAGAGATAAAATTTAATATCTCTGGAGTGTTTAGTGCTTGATTTATCGCGCTTTGTGTAGTTTTTAACAGTACCGTTATATGGAGAGTGGGCGGCGTTGTCACCCGATTTCACCCATTTTCACACTGTCGATAGAGTTTCTAACATTTTTCTTCAGTGAATTTTGTTATTATAGCATAAGCACTTTTCAAAAAAATGTAAACTGCATATGCCCCTCTTTAATGTGATCCTATGCACCAAATAACAGTCTTGTATCTTATTGCGGAGCTTAGTTATGGCAATTTATTTGTTTTTGATTAATGGCGTTTTGTGGGCGTGGCTGTAGTAGGATTACGCCCATCTGCAATACCAACCGGCATACGGTACCAAGAAACATGTGTACCAAGTTTCATAAAGATATCTAAAATTTTTACTCAAGTTACAGCTTACACAGGCGGACGGACGGACGGACAGACAGTCAACCAGATTTCAACTCGTCTCTTCATCCTGATCATTTATATATATATAACCCTATATCTAACTCGATTAGTTTTAGGTGATACAAACAACCGTTAGGTGAACAAAACTATTATACTCTGGAGCAACAAGTTGCGAGATTATTCCTTTCCAATCCCACCAAACACAGCAAACCCTTCCTGGCCGCCAATCTGGTCCCCGAGCTTTGACCACGACCGTTTGCGCTCGATGTTGTCGTAAGTGACACATTTTTCATCGCCAGTCACAATCCGTTCAGAAACGGGTCGATTTTGTTGCGATTCAGCAGCGATTCGTAGATGGAAATTCGGTCCATCATGTTTTTTGCCTTAGTTCGTTTGTTTGGGAAGTTTCTTCGGGTGCTGGCAAAATTTTATATTAAAGGAAGTAATAATCCGTTTCAACACTTTTTTGACACAAAAACATACTATTATCGGGAGTTTCATTTACTTATTTTATTATATGAATTTCAATTATATTTCTTACACATTGACCGATATTTTCGGTTAAAATCAACTATAGGTACTGGGGTCCACATATTCAATACCTAGGGGCTTGAACAGTTTTGGTTCGATTTAAACAATTTTTAGTCACAAGGTGGCATACTTTGAACGCATTTTTCACGCATAATTTTACCCCTATACAATAATTGTTGCTTGATTTGCATAGTGGAAAGTGAAAGAATCAGATGGAATTTATTATTATGTTATATGGGAAATAGGCGTAATTGTAATCCGATTTAGCCCATTTTCGTACTATAACATAGAAATATGAGAAGAATATTCTGTACCAAATTCGGTTGAAATCAGTTAAGTAGATCCCTAGATATGGGTATAAAGTCATCTCATACCATCCCATAGATAATATTTAATGTCTCTGGCGTGTCTAGTGCTTGGCTTATCGCACTTTTAGTAATTTTTAACAGTACCGTTATATGAGGGGTGGGCGGGGTTGTCACCCGATTTCACCCATTTTCACACTGTCGATAGAGTTTCTAACATTTTTCCTCAGTGAATTTTGTCATTATAGCTTAAGCGGTTTAGGATATATGCACATTAAACCTATCAGGGGCAAGACCACCCACTTTTCAAAAAATTTAAACTGCATATGCCCCTGTCTAATGTGATCCTGTGCACCAAATAACAGTACTGTATCTTATTTTGGAGCTTAGTTATGGCAATTTATTTGTATAAAAATTATAAAGTAAAAAGTAAATAAGCCATTCAATCCTATTTAACAATCTAGTGATCGAACTCTTGATAGAGTCAGAAATGGGATTGTCAAATAAATTCCCTAAGTTTAATGATCTGAAGATTCCACAATTGGAAAGAGCTGGAAGAACGCGCTTTTGCAACAAATGCAGTAAAATCCGAATTACAATCACGGTTATGAGAGGCCATGGAAGGTGAAAACATTAATGTTGACGAATATGTGTTTCAATTGCAATTATAGGAAGAGACTATGAAAATAGCCGTCAGGCTACACGAAGCGTTCCATTAGTAAAACGTGAAGTTGTAAGCCGGTCTATACGTAAAATGAGTGAAAGCGGCGTAAACGAACCATCAGCAAGTACATGGAGCTCACCTGATGTACTTTTGAAGAAGAAAAATGGCAACATCAGGTCCTATGTGTTTCTTAACAGTCAAAAATAGCCCCATCATGCTTTCAGTACCCTGGCCTTGGCTTTCAAATTTCATTATATTTGATGAAAGTATTCTCCGTGTTCTACCGAAGAAGCAAGCTCCCATATTATCTTTAAATTTACCTCAATAAGAATGTAACATGTGCATCTTAATGGCAACATGAGGTTCTGTGTGTTTCTCTTATTAACGGCCAAATATAACGCCATCATGCTCTCAGTACATCGTCTCTCAAATTTCTTTTATTTTAGTGAAAGTATTATCCTTGTTCTTCCGAATAAGCTCCCATAATATCTTTAAATTTACCTAAATAAGAATTTAGCATGTGCATCTTTAGATACATTCTGTCATAGTTGTCAGCCTTATGGTTTCCGAGGAAACCATGTAGTACTTCTACTATTCTTCAAATATTTGAAAGATTCGGACGCCGATTAAGAGCCTTTACAAATAGTTCAATAAGACCTAATTTATGGTATTATAATGATGGGGTATTGTTATATAACCCACAACGAAAGGAAGGGCTATCTCCCAAATTGCAGTGTAATTAGGAAGGACCATACCAAGTTATTAAACGGCTCAATGATGTAGTACATCGCTTAAAACCATTGGAAGATTTAGGAATAAAATGAAAGTAGTTAATCTGGAAGGGCTTGCAGCATTTATTAACGCAATCACATCTTTTGTTTAAATCTACTTGACAGGTGACAGGAAATCAATGTCGGATTTTCACTTTATACTTCAAAAAATGCTGGCAAAATTTTATTATCAAATGTTATTAGACGTCCTTTCTACTGGTACGCTGCGTATTTAAATACTTCATATATGTATATACCATAACTTTATTATCATAATATTTATTTTTGAATAAAAAAATATGCATATAAACAAAAAACGTATTTATAAATAACTCAGTATTAAAGATATTGAAATAATATACAGTTAAATATCAAATTAATCGGGTCAGGTCTGAAATATTGTTCTCTTGAATTATATGAAAGGTTCCGACATCGAACTTTTGTTATGTTTAAGCAAACTATTAAATCAAGTTTTTATAAATTTAGCTCAAGTTGTAGAATCACTAAATAGACAATATTTACATACGAGTATATGTATGCTATAGTGGTCCGATATCGACAGTTCCGACAAACGATGGTTCGATATCTCAATAACTAACGAAAAATCCATCGTAAGAACGGACAAACGCGCATACCTAAATCGACTCAGCTCGTCATGCTGATAATATATACATATATACATTTTATAGGGCACAATAGACCCTAGGTCGCGGTGCATACCTCACTACCTTTCTAGAATCTTCGACGTATAAAAATTGTTAAAATGTATCATGCTTTTGGAAACTGACTCATAATCACAAAAAGCGCCTTGGAACGTTTTCAACCCGCCATAAGCGTGCTAAATGTTTCATTTCCTTGTACTAAAAGATTTGGAAGAAACTTTCATTTCATCGTACACGCTTTATTAGAGGTTTTAAACGTATATAATATAACTTTGTTTCACGCAAAAAATATGGCGAAGAGAGCGAAATTGTCATTATTTTGAGCTTTTAGCGTTAGAATAGAATTTCTACACATGACCACAGTGAGAGCGATACCTTTGGTTGATTTTAACTGTTCAGTGGTAGCTGGTCTACAGGCATTACTTGCTTTTACTACTCTCCGTAACGTTAGCTCCGCCGTCATTTTTACAAAAAGTATAGGCAATAATACCTTTGACATTTAAAATATTTCAATTGTAAATGAACAGCAGACTTGAAATTATATTCCCTATTTTTCCTACTTCAAATTTTTTGCAATTTTACTACCCATTAAGTTTTAATAAATATATAGTGTGTTCAAAAAATAACGTTTTTCCTTTGCGCGATCAATTCGCAGAGAACTGTTTTATTTTTTTGCAAATTAACATACGTACATAAGCGTACAACTCGGTCAGTTTTTTTTTTGGATCTTCTTAATGCGCCTGTGAAATAAGAAAATTGAGTGCTCAGTGTAAGAAACGTTTTGAAGCAGCCTTTCTGAAAGAAGCATCCTAAAAGTCCCAAATGGACTAATAAAAAAACTGTAAAGTATTTAAATACGAGTTGTATATTTGTGAAAAGGTGAAGTTGAAAGGAGAAACTGGAAGCGTTGATGACAAGCCAGGAAGAGGGGGAAATCATCTGACATCTATTGTTGTTTATTTTAGAAAAAATCACTGTTCAATCTAAGAGAAGTAAAAAAAAATTTCAGAAATCTGTCATCAAACGCAACTGTACAGTAATCAAACTTCTACTTTTAAAAATATACAATAAAAAAGGTTGCATTAGGCGCAAGAAAACATCAACCGTGATTGAAATTTACAAATGAGTCAACTTTTGTATTGTTCCACCCATTAATACATGTTTGGCTAACAAAATGACAAACATTTAATCAAAGGAGTGTTATGTAAACCCAAATGGTACATGTTTATGAATGCTTTTCTGCTCATGGATTTGAAGTTTTGAGTTGCTTCACAGAAAACCTGAACGCCGTTAAAATGCTAAAATAGACAATATCTGTACTCAATGGAAGCAAGAAACCCATATTGCACCAAACACCAATCCAATAGAGAATGTTTCGGCTTTAGAAATTTTCCTTCCCAAAGGTTTCACAAATTTTGTAGTTTTTAGATTTAGTTCAGAAAGTTTAAGTAATTTAGATTGTTGGCGTGACCACCCCTTCTAAAAAATCGTTAATGAGTTAAATCACTCATTAATAAAGGCGTTTTACCTAAAAAAATTTAAAATAAATAATAATACCTTTATTTTATAATAATACCTTTATTTTATTTACTTTAAGATTGCAAAGGATAATAATCGTCAAATGCTTATTGGAAGGTTAACAAGTGAATATGAAGCCAATCCACCACATCAACTGAAAACTTTGTTTAAGCCCGAGTTAAGAAAAATAACATTAATTCTCTGGTTTCTATGGATGTCCTGTGCTTTTTGCTATTACGGATTAGTACTAATATCTGCAGAAGTCTTTCTTAGCGATAATGTTAAAGCGTTGCCCAGTCAGAATTGTAGCTCTTTTAATACAAAGGATTTCATGGATTTAATGTGGATTACATTTTCCGAATTTCCCGGTATATTTTTGACAATAGCTGTAATCAAACGACATGGAAAAAAGAAAACAATGGCTTCAGAGTTCATAATATTTTCTGTCTGCATGTCAATACTTTCGCTTAGTAAGAGGTAAATATACATATCACATATTACATAGATCCGGCCACGCGTTGCTGTGGCTGTAGTATAGGTACATTAAATAATATTATAATAAACTATTCAATACAGTGAAAATATTATTTAATGAATAGAAACAAAAACGTTACTGTCGATATAAATATCCAAGGGATTGTACTTAGGGTTTAATTTTGAAAATTATTTATTCAAATAAGAGGTTCATTACTTCTTTAAACTCCCGAATGGGTGCTTCAAGAATATTTTCGGCGATCTCTTTGAAGATCAAATGTTTTTTTACCAGCAGCATCGAAAAGTTGATCGTTGTCACCTTAATTTTGCATTGTTCTGTACAATGCTTCAAGTGATTGTTGAGGCTCGATCTTTTTCTTTACCCAAAATTATAATTTTTTTCTTTAATTTTTAATATATGGAGGGGGGGTTTCCAAATTGTATGTACATGCTTAAGATTTAATCTTGAGCGTCATCGTAATACGATTAAGATTAATCACTAATTCGTTCGATAGAAAATAATTTCATTCATCCTTCGGCGTTATACATCTACTGAATTTCATACCACCATATTTATTTTTCACCAAATAGCTCAATTTAGTCTGAATTTACGGTACAGTGTAGCCCGCCCATGTTTTCGCGCCAATGTCAGCCGAACATGCGACTCGATGAACAAGAGCGTACGAACTGAGTGGTAGCAACACACTGACAGGTTCTAACCTGCTTTGTTTATTCCTGTTATTGTTTTACTCGACTCAGTGCATGCTCTTATTATTTTAAAATAAGTTATCAAGATTTTTATAACGCATACGTCAAAAGATACGTCTATAAGACGAAGAAGTCCTGCCAGGACGATGTGATAAAATCATGGAATACAAGCAATACGAAGCAAAAATTCCCGAAGAAAGAAGCGCTAACACATCACATTCAACATAAGATTGAACGGCATCTCAGAAAAGCCACTGAGAGAAAAGTTCGGTCTACTTTAGCATACCTTCAAAAGGTAGGTTAAATATATTTTTTCAAGATAATATTTTTTTTGTATAAACTTTATTGTTACAATTAATAGCATAAAAAAGCTAAAACGCTGAAATTCTTGATAAAATATTCTAAAATCATTAGTAATATTAGCGCGGGTATTTCCATTACTGTTTTCACATAATTCAGTATTAATTTTAATTTATTAGATTCATTTCTTTACTCTGATGCTTTGATTTCAGACTAACACTAAGATTTCCAACAGTTCTTCGATTCAGGCTGGGACAAGCACTACCTACCGATTCAACCGCTAAATGCCTTAATCAGCATGCCTTATGATCTCTATTGCCCAAGTATACGTGGTGATTTAGAGAAAAGATGCTGCATTACATGCGGTATTTTCTTTGCATTTATCACAAGAGCATGGAGTGGTTAGATCAGCAGATGATTTTACTGAACATCATATGGTCATGTTAGTTTGAATAGTCTCTCTTTAGACAGCGCATAATTCTCCATGAACTGAATTAGAGTAGATATTCTTTTTGTTTACTTACAGTAGTCATGATTTAAGTATTCTATTATTTTATTTTATTCCATTTATAACTCTCAGCAATATTGATTACTAGTCGTAACTAGTCGTAAATAAAAAGACGATGCAAATTGTTTTTTTTTACAATAACAATCCAACGCGTTTACGTCAGAAACTCACATTCTGAAAAATCTCACGAGATATTGGGGGATGGGGGAGGGGGTTGAATAAAATCTCACGACATCTCACCGAGGAGGAGGGGGAGACAGAAAAAAAAAACACCTCACGTAATTTATGGACGCCTCCTAATTAAGATATAAACTATCTTATTTTCAATTTGTATCAAACTGGAAACAGTGTGCTAAATTTTATTAAACTCAGTTCAGTAGTTTAGAAATTTTATGTCTTAGCTACCTTATTTGCCGTTAAGTAATCCAAATTCATACGAATATAATGGGATGAAGGTAACTTGACTACACAGCTCTGAAAAAGAAACTTGTGTTGGTCTTTATATCTTAGTAAATTTTGATGGTTTTAAGTGCCCAGATTACGAATTTATTCCTGAAAGCATTGAATGTGCTTTTGTTTTTGTGATAATTGCACATCTTATATTTTGATTAAATTAATTTTTCTAATCATTATTAGGGTTCTGCGCTCTTTTTTCGCGCATACAACCCTCATGTTATTTCTATTCTCAGGCCCTTACCGAAAATTTGCGAAAAATGCTGAAGGTTTTAATAAAACTCAATCGTAGATATATCTAAACCCACATTCCACAACATGTTCTGTTTAACCCAATGAAAACTTCAGTTTAATTTTCAAAAGTTATTGGTGTGTAAACTCAATGAAGAATCTATAAACTCTTACCGCTGGTAGGGGAAAAGTAAAGATCTTCATTGAGCTGAGAATATATTAATTCTGATTTTATTTTACTTTTTCTTGTCTTTATATACAATTTTAATACTAACTATCTAACTTAAAATATGTGTATGCATATGTCGCACGACATGGAGGAAAAATCCCTTCCCTCAAACAACTTGTATACGCTTGACGAAACAGTTTGGGTTTCCTTTTAATGACATGCTTGATAACGAAGTTGGGTATTCCGTCCAGGCCAGGTGCTTTTCCGATCTTTATTATTGCCATAGCATGTTTCAGTTCCTCATGAGGCAACGCTGGGACTTCCTCCACGAACTACCTCACGCAAGATAGTAGGAGATATAGGGGTCTTCTTGATCTTCCCAGTTTCTTCATCATTATCTGATAAGCTTTTCCCCAAGGGCCATTTTCTACCTGTGAAAGGAGTAGGTTGAAGCCTTATGTAGTTTTTTCCTTTTTTATCGGAAGTTGGTCAAAGTCGCGTCTTCCTCTAGCGCGTTGTTATCTATGTCGAAACCACAAGCATTCAGTTTTAGCTGAGCGATTTCTTCGGACCACTAATACGAGGGTGCTTTGTTTTCTTCGTGGCATTACGGCATCGCAAACCATTGTAAGTGGTTTCGTTATGTTCTTCATTTGGTCTGTGCATCACCTTTTGTGTCTTCATTGATTTGACCAATGGCAGATTCAAGCATTTCTAGGTCGCAAGCTCTTGTCTTCAATCGTTTTGTCACCCTTTTGGGCATCCTACTATAAGGCTTTTGCCTATGTCGGGGACTTATTTGGAACGTTATGGCTTTGCGGTCTCTATGGGTATAAATTTCGGAGACTATCCATGATATCTATGAAACTATCCATGAGCTTGCAAAAGTGAGGTCAATGTAAGGCGACGCCCTGCCCTTAATAAAAGTTGGCTTGCGGCCGCTGTTAAGAAGTACGAAGTCGAGGTTTGCGAATGATGATAGTAGGGCTGCACCCCTCGCATTTGTAATTATACTTCCCCGTTCGACCGCCAATGGATTAAAATCGCCAGCTACCACTAGCGTAACCTTTCCCCTAGCGTGCTTTGTAAGCTTGAGAAGCATGTCCTGAAGTTGTATAAGAAATAGGCTGGGGGCAGCGTAACAACTATAAAAATGTATGCCTTTTATCTTTGCATCTCAGTGGTTCAGGTTCAGTTGGAGGCACCTTATCATTTGTCTGAGGTTTTCCAACAACTTTTTTATATGCTGGGCAGCTGTAACTACCAGTCGGGTGCTTATTCCCACCTTCCTTGTGGGCATAGCACACACAGATTGCTTTACTACAACCTTTTGTGGTGTGACCTTTCTCTTCTCATCGGAAACACGAGCCAGTAAGATCTCTTGTGTTTTTACAGTTGCGTAGTGTATGTCCAAACTCGAAACATTTGAAGCAGTGGACTAGTCTTGCGACTTCTCGAATCCTACAATTGGCCCAGTCTATCCTTATTTTCTTTTCACTAAGGAGTTTATTCGAGACTGTTATGAGAAGACTAATAAGTGCTACTTGCGTTTCGTCTTTGAGGTCTCTAGCGTGACCGCGTGCACTAAGACTCTGACTACCGCCGGCTTTTTAGGACCTCTAAAGTGCGCTACCTAAGTTCATTGGATGACTCCTTTGGTTAAGCTTTAAAATTAAGCAACAGTTCACTCTTCACTGTTCTCTTTGTCTTGCTCAAGCTGTCGCCGAGATCTTGTAATCTGGGGTCCGATTTCATTTTTTTTAGCATATCTGCATCGGATGAGTCGCTTGTTTTGAAATCTCCAGAGCTTCAGAACGCTTCGCCTTTCGTTTTGGGGTCTTTGGTTCTGAATTTTTAAGTTCAGCCTTACTTTTCTTCTTCTTTTTTTTGTTGCTGACCAGTACCCATTTAGGTTCTTGAACTTCTGGTGGAGTGATATCTTTAATTTCGCAGATTCTTCTTTTGTTAGGCGTTTGCGCTATTGGCTTTTTGGCAACATTGGGTCGCCTCTTGCTGTTCGAGGTTTCTTTGTCATTCTCGAGTTTTCTCTTGGCCTGCATCGCAATCAAAGACCATGGCGAGGTTTGTGACATATTTTCCCTCAGCTCGCATTCCTTTGGTTTGGCTCGTTCAGAAGCAGCTAGTTCATATAATGCGGTTATCCGTCCGATGGTGTCTTTCAAGGCTTGGGCGATAGATAGTCTTTTCCCATCCTCAAACATGGTTACCAGGTTCCCTATTTGTTCGTCAAGTTGGTAGAAAGCAGATATATTACCTCCAATATCGTCCTTCTGGCCAAAGGTGTCGCATTCTCCAATTTATCTTGTTCGGCGCTTACTGGTATACTACAAGTATTTTCGCGTCGAGTATGTAATGGGGGCGTCCTTATTATAGTTGAGCTTCTCCTAAAAGCCGTGTGCTCGTTTTTTTTTTGTTTTCATGTTCGTTTTCTAGTGCAGTTGTGATATTGATACGTTTTGGTTCTGTTAAATTATTCATGGTTGTGTGATTGGGTCCCCTCTCAGGGCCACTATCGCCGCTCGCTATGTGCAATCGCTGTGTTGATCTCGTGATTATCTTTCAGGGAGGTCACGCAACTCAATGGCGGCAAGCATTGAACGTACCCTGAGGCCTTGCCAGGGTTTTAGTGGGGACGGGGGGCATCCGTAGCATTAACCGACAAGCCATTTCAGCAATATTTCACTCCG